ACGTACGGAAGAATGCGTTTTGGCTGCGAACATCTTCCAAAAAACTTGGCATCTCTTAAGCATGGGCAAAAACATCTGGAACCACTTATCAAAACCACCCCGTATCTGCATGAAGTTCCACCCCCCCACTGCTATTCCAAACAACGCGTTTTTCTGGACCATTCCAATTCGCCTCGTAATTGTAGGGGTGCGTCTGCAATATTACATTGACCGCGAAAGCAGCAACGGCAAAAATACACATTCGTGCATCAACACGGGCATGCCCGCAGACGGCCTATAAAATTGTGTGCCGATTACACAAAGAGAACCTAGTGTTTTGACTGCGAACATGAAAAATCAGCCGATCACAACACTCCGTCCGGAGGTCCTGACCTCCTTCACGGAGTAACAAATGTAAATACATTGTATCCCTGTGTGTGACTGGCACTATTTGGGACATGTATGTGGCTAAATCTCTGGCTATGACAGTTTCAAGTGTGTGGCAGAAAACATTTTTTGATAACTAGCAAGAAATGTTGACAGCATGACATTCTTAGGTGCAAGGAAAAATGGCTGGGTCACTTTGGGTCAATGGGGCAGTCTATTGTGAAATGGGTGGAAATTGGATTGCTGCGATTTGCTTGTTCACTACATTCAAATGTAACAAAATCTAAACCGTCATGTTTTTTTACTTGGGGTAAGAAATGTGTCAGATGTTCTTTACAACAAATTGGTAAGCACATGTACATGTATGGCTACGTCGATGAAGGTTAGACATCCAGGTAATACGATACGCCAAAAAACAGTTACTCAAGCAACTGGATATGATTTTGAAAACGTCAGACGTTTCAGCTAGTATCCACTAGCTTTCGTCAGTGACTGAGAGACCAGAGGGGAAAGCAGGTTTTTAAGTACAACCTGTTTATTGATATGCAAATAAAGTGAAGACAAATTTTTGGAAGTCGAAAAATGTATGTCTACCCGGAAATACAGTTACTAGTACATGTATGGCTACCCGGAAATACAGTTACTAGTACTGATAGTCACCTGTGACTGCTAAATGCATGGAAAGGTAAGTTGGTAGAACATAAAGTGGGTAGAACACAGAGAGTGACAGTGAGCTCCAAAACTGACATTCAAGTATCCTTGAGTTTTCCAGGCTCAACACATGAATACAGTGTAGTTTCATATTTGTTAGCTTTCCATGATATAATTTTGTGTGAATGTGTGTTGTACATGTTTGATATATAGTCTACTTTTCAGTCTGTTCTAAAGGACGTGAACTTAAAAACCTGCCTTGTCTTGTCGCTTTTGTCTTGCTTTTTGTATAAGAAGACCACTTATCTAAGAAGACGAGACTACTTTTCCTTGGTCCCCTGGGTGGTTGTACATGTACTAGACAAGTTGGACTGTACCTTGTCTGAATGTTTTGCTGCCAAGGCCTTCAGCTCTTCCTGTGACATTTCGTACGACTCCTTCAGATGTGTGCACTCATCTTCCACATTACTGCAGGTGCGCTCTGTGTCAGACAGCTTGGTCACAATATCCAGTTTCTCTTGAAATATTCTTCTCAATGACTCCTGCAGTCATGATCAGAAAAAAAGTGCTTTGTAAGCTTCCCAAAAGGAACATCCCAACAAAAAGACTGGTACTCCAGAAGACTATACTCAACTTATTTCCAATGGTGTGTGGTACTGCTACTTGTAATGCGTTAAAAGCAAAAAATAATTCTTGAACCTTAGCTGTGTTCTCGTAGATGTGTTTATCCTCCTGCAAGGCCACTAGTTCCTTCCGCAGGCTCTCTTCTGTCTGGTTCTTGGCAAAAGCCTGCAGTTGGCTCTCCAGCACCTAGGGGGAGCCGAGTGCTGGTGTTAACTCACAACATGAGAACATTACAGCCACTGTGATAATCCTGACTCCCTGAATTCCTCTTTACCTTTACCAAGAAGGACAACTTGTGTCTGTCTGTCTGTGAATGGCATTACTTGAGAAGTCATGGATGGATACTACTAATATTTGGTGGGTAGTTAGGCATTGATGAGTTCTCATAGGCCCCGTTCACAGTGAAATAAATGGACCGGGATTGACCGCTGATCGGGATCAAAATTATGGAAATGAAGTCAATCCGGATCGGTTTTGCAGTGTGAACGCTCCAATCCGGACTGATTTTCTCCGATCCAGATCCAAAAGTAATCCACCTCGAGGAGGTAGTTCAAGATTTTGGAACCCCTATCGCTTGTTATATGGTACTGCAGCAGAACTTCTGGTTTTGATGTCTTGTGTTGGACACGCTAGGGTCATGACTCATGAGTGTAGATAGCTCTTGTACTCAGGAAGAAGTGATGTAACATACATGTTAGTGGCATGTTTCAGGTTTGACAGTCTAGTTTCAGGTTTGACATTTTAAAAAGGAGATGGTCACCTGTTATGTCAAGCATTCCACAATCTCCTTAAAGAAATAAAAAAACAAGTAGATAAGACAGTGACCTCCAGTCTGGACAGGAGCCTGTCCTCATCGATCAGTGCCTGCCAGCTGGACTGGGACGCCTCCTGGGTTTCTGACATCACCCTCTGTAACATGGCCAACTTGTTCTCCAACATCTGTTCTCTGTGAGCAGCCTCCTACAGGTACATGTATTAAACACACATTCACAACCTTCCTACAGGTACACATGTTCAACACACATTCACAACCTTCCTACAGGTACACATGTTCAACACACATTCACAACCTTCCTACAGGTACACATGTTCAACACACATTCACAACCTTAGTACATGTACACATGTTCAACACACATTCACAACCTTCCTACAGGTACACATGTTCAACACACATTTACAACCTTCCTACAGGTACACAGGTTCAACACACATTCACAACCTTCCTACAGGTACACATGTTCAACACACATTTACAACCTTCCTACAGGTACACAGGTTCAACACACATTCACAACCTTCCTACAGGTACATGACTGTATTAAACACACATTCACAACCTTTCTACAGGTACACATGTTCAACACACCATTCACAACCTTCCTACTGTAC